ACATGAGCCAGGATAACTCTCTCAAAAAGCTTGCCCAGGATCAAGGTAAGACTAACTGGCCTATAGTTTCCCGGGTCCTCCTTCCTCCCTTTTTTGAAGATGGGAACCACGTTGGCCCTCTTCCAGCCCTCCGGCACCTCTCCAGAGCACCCCGAGTGCTCGTACAGCCGTGCCAGGGGACTTGCAATGACCTCGGCCAGTTCCTTTAGAACTCCAGGGTGGAGATCATCCGGACCAGCTGACTTGAATACGTCCAGCCCCTCCAGAAGCTCCCTAACTAAGTCCTCGCTAACCCTTGGCCCAGGTGTGCCTCCCCCGGGGCCCGAGGAGGGCCCAGCAGGGAGGTGGCCGTTCTGGTCCCTACTTAGGAAGACGGAGGCAAAGAAATCGTTAAACATGTTAGCTTTGTCGTCTGGTGTGACGACCAAGTTTCCCAACACGTCCTGCAAGGGCCCCACATTACCCGGGACCTTCTTTTTGCCCCCTATGTATTTAAAAAAGGACTTCTTATTGTCCTTAATCTGGGAAGCTAGTCCTAGTTCCATCTCTGCCTTGGCCTTCCTAACTACCCCCCTACATCCCCGAGCAACTGCAGAATAGTCATCCCTGGTGATGAGCCAAATGGTTGGCTCCTACTGAAAAACCTAATTGGCTAATTTGGTGCATAAATACCCAGCCAGTGCCTCTGCAAATCTGGCCCTGTGTGTGCTAATAAATACTTTGGAAAATTCAGGTGTTTCCATACAAAGCATTCACTTGGCCAACAGCAAATACAGTAGCCTGCAGTCAGATGAAGCCAGCAGTGGTGTTACAAAAACTCAGTGATAACAGACATATGCACTGATGACAACAATCATTTGTACCTCCAGAGCAGAACTGCATATGCCTTAGGCAGAAGGCAGGGCATGGGCGCATGTTTGAGATGGACTTCCACACTAGAGAAGAATGGGAGCTACTCATTTCTTTTTTCAGATACTTTAAAAACCTGTCTTCAGACTAACATGGCAAATTACCTCTCTCTGCATGTACATCAGTGAATTTTGCCTCCCAGCCCCTTTGGGACATAGAGAAACCATTACCCCCATTTTACAGACAGCAAAATGGTGGCACAGAGAGGTGAAGCGATCTACTAATATTCACACAGCCAGTCTTCAGCAAAGCCAGAAATCAAGGCGAGGTCCATGCTGTACCTTAAACCACTATATCAAGATGTCAGATCTGACCCACACAGCCACGTCATCTGGCCCACAAGGCTGTGAGAAGGGCTAGAAATTCAAGAGCAGGGCACATGCAGGGGCCACCTCAGGAAATGGATCCAGGTGCAGCCTGAGGAGCACCCCCAGCCACCCCACCCCAGTCTGCACCCAGCCCAGATCAGCAAGCCAGGTTACACGCCTGCCCTAAACCATCCTCTCCCAACAGCACTTCCCCCACCAGACATTGCACAGGCCTGCAGCCCACTTTGACAACACGGAGCAGTATGCAAATCTCAAGTTATACCCAGGGTCTGCTCAAGGCAAAACTATTTTTTCAAATGTGCCAAAAAAGGTGGGAAAGTACCAGTTCGGGTCCATTTAAAACAAAAAATCTATTTTGATGGTTTTCAGTTTAGCCACAGAACTCAAAATCAGCTAATCGCACAGCTCTAGTCAGCAACATCCAATGGGAAAAATAAATGTGTGACCGAGGACTATCCATTGCTGTTGCTGAGGTTGTTCAGGACGTTTTCACGGTAGAGAACCCGCCGGACTGGTAGTATCCTGTCACCCTCCGACAGCCAAAGCAAATCAAGAGTGCAGCCGGGCGAAAGGTTATTAACCTGCTACTGGAAAAGAGGTAGCTACTACTCAAAGTAGTAGTGGCCGATGCATACAGGACTGCGAGGGGCTGCTATGAGACCTGGGTTTCTGCAGCATTATGGTGACAGGCTACAGGTTTCTGATTCACGAGCAGCTGAGGATGAATAAGTTGTTCACGGGAGGGCAGACTGCTGCTAGCTGTGCAAACTCCCAGGCTGGTTCATTTGCTGCTGGGCTTCTCAAAGCACCTGGAAAAGAAATGGAGCTCCCATTCTTCTCCATTTTGGAAGAACCCATGTCTTTCTCTCCCACACACACCATACCATAGCCCTTGATAAAGAATACAAAATCACCTCTGCAAGAAGATCACTGAGGAATGAGCTTTGTGCGTCTGCTAAACCTGTGACGTGGGCAGGCTCCACTGAAAACTTCTATTTCAGCGTGCAATGGCAACCAAGGGGATAGTCGCTACAAGGCACACCAGCAGCCTTATTGCTTAAAAGTTATTCATAATTTTCCAAATCCTATTTGTTTTCTGTACTAATCATTCATTTGATTGAGAAACCTTACGGTATCTTCCCACTGAAAGCAACCTGGCACCATTAACGCCTGCTGCGGTGACTCTCAACTGGGGTGACACAGCACTGCGGGGTGTCAACAGATCCTTTTAAGGGTGATGCACAACATTAGCAGTGTTAGGTGTGCAAACACCTGCATGTGATTCACAAGATAAAAGTCTGAGCTTTCAAACAGTGCCCAAAACTCTCTGCCCTTCCTGAGTTCTTTGCAGTAGCAGAATTGCTCTATTCTTTGTCTATAGCCAAAAAAGAGTGAAAGCTAAACATTTTTTGAAAGGTGCCTTGTGTCTAGTGAGGGGTGCCGTGAGTCTAACAAGGTTAAGAACCACTGAGCTACTTTTTACATGCAACACCGCTGAAGTCTGGCTTTGTCATGCTGTCCTAAAAAGAGAGAACTGTTCCCTGCACTTCAGCAACGAGTTAAAGCTTAAGTGCAGGAAATAGGGGTGCATGTACTTAGACAGCATCCTTCTCCCTGCTACATTGGGCACGCTGTCCTATTTTAATTCAGTAACTGAAAGGCAAACTAACTGATGGCATATATCTGTGGCCTAATATGCATAGCTTTGTTGGCTAGAGACACCTAGGAACAGCCAAAAGATGAGGCTTCTTAATAACGGCTCTGCCTCAAGGCTGTGGAAGTTAATTCAGTGTAGCAGGACTGTATCGAGAGAACAAGGCAGGCTGATTGCTGCTCCTACCCCGGCTGCACAGCTGTATTTGATCTCTAAAGGTTTTGGGGACATCCAAGGCTGTGTCCACCCTGCTGAGACTGCCATGACTGTCTCTCAGACTCACCTGAGTTCACTTCAGGCTAGCAGGCTGGGAACTGCTAGCAGAGGAACTATAGCGACATGGTTTAAAGGCAACTCAGGTGTGTCTGCCCGAGCTGCAATCGCAGCAGAGCCAGCAGCACAGGTTTGTCCTAACTTTCAGTACACGTTGACAAGATCCCAGTGGATGTTACAGGAGGCTGCAGTTCACAGAACCGAGCTGAGCACCTCGATGATGCTGGGGAGAGCTGATCCTAGAGCGACCGTGCCTGCAAAGAAAGGCGGTATGAAGGGACACGTGTTGCTCTGGGCCTCTCTCTGCAGGCTAGTTCAGAAATAAAAGGACATGGGCTCCAGCATAGCCTGTCCTTACATTTTAGGGTATCTGAGTGACCAAGAAGTGAAACAGGTGCCATACATCTGCTCTGGGCAACAAGTTGGCAGTGCTGCAGCGACTGTTTCAGCTGATTATGGGAACAGCCGCAGGTAAGAGCGGCAGCTGCCAGATTTGAAATCTGCCAGGCCGCTACGTATCAGATCTTCCCCAGATGCAGAGATAGCATAAGCTTTCAAAGGCAGGAAGCAAAAGGTGGCAACAATCCTACGAGCAGCTATGTGCAGTACTGCCTGACTGTACAGTATGGATAGGCAGTGACAGGAACAGAGCCCACATCCTCCAGCTCCAAGGTGATATTCCCTTAGCTGTCAGGACTGTGGGGCCCCTGATACATGGTTCAGGGCAGGTTCCCTCGCTCTGCCCATCACCGGGACATCTGCACACCTCAGTTTCTGTTCCCCTGGGCTTGGAGAGGTTTGGAGGGGCAATCTTGGAGCTCACCTGACCATGCAAGCTCTGCAACAAAGGCTGAGCCTGCCCCGGGCAGCCTGCAGGATTCATGGAGCACTGTGTCCAACTGTAGTCCCTGAGTGAATAAATCTGGACTCAGAACAAGGACCTGGACTTAGGTACTAAGGAACGGGCCATTCTCTCCCCTCCACTTTTATGGAGAAGAGAGATCCTGTTCTGATGGATCCATAGTGAGGGGCAGAAAAAGGCAACAGAAGTGCAACCTTGAGCTATTCTCCCCCCTCCCAGTTCCCCATGTTTCTGAGGAAGGATCATTAAAAAGTGCCAGGAACCTGGTGATCTGTGCAAGGGGGTCACTAAGGAGAGGATCATTTCCTGTACAAGGTGAGATGACTGCACATTGTGCCACACACACAACAGAGCTCAGCTGGGTGAGCTCAGGAAGTACCACTGTGTAGAAACCAGATTACCTGCAGTATCGCTGACCCCGACCAGGTGATAAGAGGCAGATAACTCCTGTACATACAGCTTTTTACTGCATCCTTTCCCATGCATCTGGGAATGGGGCAGAGCCAGCAGTAGGAGGCACAGATTGGAGCAAGGGTCTCTCCATGCAGCATTTGCACGTACATACTTGAACATGCATCCCCCCACCCTAGAGCGTCCATGTAAAATTAGCTCCTGTAGGCTCTGCCTTTGAAGCAATTCCTGCTAGTTCCTACACATCGCTTCTGACCTGACCAAGGTGCCCCCACTAGGACAGGGGCAAAGCCATCTTGCACATACCTTTACCAATGCGACTGAGGCCACCCTTTCTTACCTATATGCAAGAGGTCCAGTGCTGGGAGTCCGCAACTCCACCCCCTTCATCTCTCTCTCAAGCCCTTCCTACTGGAAAGTACAATCCCTTGAAAACTGCCTTGGACCTGCCTGTAATACTGTGCAGAGCGAGAGGGTTTCTGGACCCGACGACCCCACTGACACACTACAGGTCTTGCTATAGATACCAGCTAAAAAAGGCCCCAAGCAATAGTGGCCAGTGTTTTGGAAGCTGAGGGGTCAGAGCTGTAGTCCAGACACCTACAAATAGTGCAATACGCTCACGAGCTTCACCAAGAACATGAATTCCTCCTGGAGTTTCCTGCCCTGGTCCCATGTGGGTGTAGGGGTAGGACAACCGGACCCTTTGCTGTTTGCAATCAAAGGGACTTTTGGATATAGCCTTCACAGCCTCCTGTTGGCAGGCCAGCACGTGACTTTGAAAAGCCATTGTCAAGTTCAACTGTACCTGCTTCCCTAACAGGCTCCCAGACTTGCAAAAAGGGAACAAAAAGGCAAGGTCAATAAAGCAGTGTAATTAGAAATCTGGATCAGGAAAGGTAGTTTCAGGGCCGTAAATCAAAATTCAGTCGCTTGGGAGAAACCTAGTGCCTGGAGGAAAGTCATATCAACCTAATGAAGTGTAAAGAATACCCACTACCCCAGAAGGATGATGGGAGGGAGAAAATCCAGGTGTAGAGACAGAAATCAAGCACAAGGAAGCAGAAGGGACCCAGTGGAGCAACCTCAACAGAAAGGCTGCGTGACAGTCACCTCGTCCTTGTCATGGGTCCACCTTAGATCTACTGGATGTGGTGGGAAGACAACGCAACGTCACTCAGGAGAGAGACCCACCCTGAGGCCACGTGATACCTACTGATTTTCAGTCCTCCCCTATGCCATCCCAGGTATGGCAAGAGGTAGGTGAGAAGGTCCCTCTTCCCCACAATCACATCCTTCTGGCCAAGGCCATAAGGGATGTACCAGCCTGGCCTTCTTCTGAGTTCCTAGATGGCATTGCTCATATCACGCCTTCACAGCAAGCAATGCATATCTGATACCTTCCCACTCCCTCTCCCCTCCAACCCTAATCCTAATTTTCACCAGCCACCAATGTCCTTTTTTTCCCATTCAGTTTTATCCAGCGAACAAAGGAAGTGGAGCTGACAGCAGGGTTCTCATTTCTGTCAATAGCACACAATTATTGCAACGCCCACATGAGCCAGATTGCTATCTTTATCCTTTTCTTTCAGAGACCCATAAAAATACCTACATGGAAGAGTTTATGACACACATACACGGCAATGGGATATATATATTGAGATGGTTTAGGTCAGCATCTGCAGTTACAAAGGTTAAGATAAAATAATCACCAGCTGGGGGACCTTCATGCATTTCTCCATTTTGATTTCCCCAGATATAAAATGGGGCGGGGAGAATGACACCTGCCTTAAAGAGAGGCTGTGAGGGTCAATTAATGCTTCACACAGTGCTTTGAAGATAAAATGCAATATAATCTTGTGAATCTTAAATAGCTCTATTGAATCCCACTGGGGTTACCCACACCCAGAAAGGACTGCTGGTCTAAAGAACCAGTCTCTAAGCTGTTTGGGGCAGGGACTGCCTTATGTTACAAGTGTGCAGACCCTAGTGCAGGGGTCCCTCATCCTGACTGGGGCTTCTGGCTGCTTCTACAATCCAAAGTCAAGTCGAGTCAGTGCCAAGGCTGCTGCGACCACTGGGGTAACAACCCTCCTCCACCCTGCCCTGCCTGGCTAGCTTTGTGCACACTGTCACTTGAAGCCCCATCCAGGCTTTAAAGCTCTTCTTGGGTTACCTCTTTTTTATCTTTCTCTCCAATGAGCCCTGCATTATGGCATTGGCAAGGGAGTCTGGGCTTCTTGTGACCTGTCCAAACCATCGCAGCTTCCTTCGTCGCACCACCTCCAACAGATTCCAATGTCTTGACTGATTTTCTGCATGATAGACCCATTGGTCTGGTGCTCATTGTACAAGATGCAGTAGTCTCCTAAAGCAGGTATCCAGGTTGTAAAGACTTTTTTTTTTTTGCAAAAATCTAGTTGGTTTAATAAAAGATATCACGTCTACCATGAGTCCTGATTGCTTCTCCTAAAGCAGCACATTTCAAAGCTTCAATCCCGTTCGCCAAAACTTCTTATTAAGCATACCTGCTTCACAGCCATAAAGCATTGTAGAGATGACCACCGCATGCAGCCAGTGTCACTTTGCCTTCAGTGCAATATTGCTGCTTGTCCAGATTTTCTTTAGCTTTGCTAGTTGGCTGGTGGCAGCGGCTATTCTGGCCTTGACTTCCATTTCAGATGTTAAGTCTTCTGTGCTGGTGACTCCCAGGTACTTCAAATGTGTTCCTCTTTCTACTTTTTCACTGCCAATCTTCACATCAACGCTGCTGGCAGCAATCTTGGAGGTTGTCATCACTTAGCTTTTCTCAGTGCTTATTTCCAGTCCATAGCTCTTTGCAGTTTTGTCTAGCACTAGGTTGCAATTCAAAGGGTAAGTAACAATAATAACAACCCCTTGTGATTAGCTACCATGGCAAAAAGGATCCTGGGCTGGCTGGACAGTTGGGTCCACCCATTAAGATAATTCATGCACTCTTACTGGAGATTCATATACCTACAGCATGAACTTATTAGAGCAACAACTGGTAGCCCTCTTTCATGAGGGTCCCCTCACCTCCTCAGAAGAGGTGTTCAAAACAAGGAATGGGAGGCCAAGGGAATGGACGGAGGGAAGAGACACAGAAACAGTTTGGGTTTTAAAGAGTTTTGTAGATGCCAAAGCTCTCAGCTAGGAGGAACTAAGCATTATTATTCCCATTTTATAGATGAGGACACTGAGGCATAGAGTGGTAAAAAGTAACTGGTCATGGTCATACCTGGAGACAAGGGCAGAGCTGGCAATAGTACCTAGGCCTCTTGACCCTTGGTCCTATGGGGCACTCACAAAAATGGCCTGAATGACAGTGAACCAGCCATCCTTGGGACTAATTAGTAGGGCTGTGTGAAACAGCACCGTTTCGTTCCGATGTCCATTCTGGCGTTTCCAAGGGACCGTGTTTTGTTTCATCGTTTCAAAGCGCTGTTCCGTTTCATTCCATCAAAACCATTGTGCTGTTTCGACGTTTCGCCCGTAGGTTGTAATGGGGAAGCATGAAAATGCCTAAAACTGGCATTTCTTGCCTGATTCGGATGAAAATGGCAGGGATGCTAGCGGGCATGAATCCTGCCATATTTCAAGGAGACGGGTGTCAAGGTTTCTGGGAAACTGCACCCCAAACTGATCAAAGCAAAACTCATGACGCTTGCCAGCAGCGGCAGCCTCCTCTCATCCAGCGTGCGGATCCAGGGGCCCACACCCCCAGGAGGGCTGCGGGGCTGTGCTGGACTCCTCCCGGGGGTGCGGCCCCCAGATCTACACGCTAGAGGACAGGAGGCTGCTGCCACCAGCTGGGACCAGCATTGAAGCCAAGTAAGCCCGACTTCGAAACTCAAAATGTTTCTGAACTTTTGAAACATTTTGAGTGCCCTCGTTTTGTTTCGAAGCTGTTTTGAAGCCTTTTGCTTCATTTTGATTTCAAGCTCAAAACACATCGAAACAGCTTCAGAACGAAACAGCAGGTGAAATTTCGCACCGCCCTACTAATTAGTACTTGTAACAAACACGGCACGTGTACTGAAAATAAGAGGAGGGAAAGTTATATTGGTCTAGCGTGGCCAAACGACAGGTAAGGATGGAGCGTGAAAACTATCTGAAGGTTTTAAATAGCAAGTTGGGAGAATCACCAAAGGTTAAAACTAGGAGTAAGACCTAGCCATTAAAATCAGGGCTTAAATAAGAGGATGTGGGAAAACATCCAGAAGTTAAATGAATTGGCTTGCAGAATAAATGCCTGGGAGTATTAGTGGAAGTCCCTTCAGCTGCCGCATTCAAGCTAGCAGCTGGCCTGCTCGAATCCCAGCAAATGTACAGAAAGCAGAGGAATGACCTGCACAGCCTCGTAGGTCTTTCTCATCTGGAGAATCCATGGGATTGAGCTTCTCCACTCAGTTCGATTCCAAATGGCCAGGCACAACTTGCTTAGCAGTTAGCACGAACTGTATGAGAGCAAGAAAGACTCAGCTGGTAACAGGGTCCTGTAGTTCATCTGGCTGTCACATTCGCTGGACAGCAAACTGAGCACAATCCTTTGCTCGCACAATGGAAATGCAGTGGTGGCGTAGTCCTGCCTTGGTTACACGTGAGGAGTGTGCTTGAATGCCAGGGAGCTCATTTCTGCTTTCCCACCACTGCCTGTACATAGGGCAATGGTCCGCGTCACAGCCACCCCTGCAAATCCAGGGAGGCCCTTCAAACCCCGGTCTGGTCCTGGGTGGCCTCCACCTCCAATGCTTTCCACTGCCATTGATTGTCAACTGTCTGAAACCTCTGGGCATTAATCTGATTTCTTCTTCTTCTTCCCTCACTCTTCCCACCTAAACAAGGTCACTGTTGCAGATCCTGGCTGTCCACCAGGTTCTGGGATCCTGATTTTAAAAAATCCCCAATTTTCGGTTAAAAAAAAAAGCAACCCTAATACACATTTTTTTGTGATTTAAATGAAACACTAGTAATATAGATATATTTATATATCTATATATAA